TTTTTTTTCTTTCTATTCACTCATGGAATGTGGGCATTGCTGACTGGGCCCAGCATTTATTGCCCTGTCCTTAGTTGCCCCCCTCCCCTTGAGAAGGTGGGGGTTGAGCTGCCTTCTTGAACCGCTGCAGCCCACCTGCTGCGGGTCGACCCACAATGTCCCTTAGGGAGGAATGCTGACCCAGCGACAGTGAAGGAACGGCGATATATTTCCAAGTCGGGATGGTGAGGGGCTCGGAGGGGAACTTGCTGGGGTGGTGTTCCCATGTATCTGCTGCCCCTTGTCCTTCTGGATGGAAGGGGTCATGGGTTTGGAAGGTTCTGCCTGAGGATCTATGGTGAGTTTCTGCAGGGCATCTTGTAGACGGTACACACTGCTGCTACTGAGCAGTCAAGCGCGAGCTGCTTTGTCCCGGATGGTGTCAAGCTCTTGTGTTGTTGGGGCTGCACTCATCCAGGCAAGTGGGGAGTATTCCATCACACTCCTAACTAGTGGTAGGGCTTTAGGGAGTCAGGAGGTGAGTTACTCACCACAGTATTCCCAGCCTCTGGCCTGCTGTTGTAGCCAATATGGTTAGTGTAGTTGAGTTTCTGGTCAATGGTAACCCCCAGGATGTTGATTCAGTAATGGTAACACCATTGAATGTCAGGGGACAGTTGTTAGATTGTCTCTTATTGGTGATGGTCATAGCCTGGCATTTGTGTGGCGTGAATGTTACTTCCACTTATCAGCCCAAGCCTGGATATCGTCCAGATCTTGTTGCATTTGAATGTAGTCTGCTCAAGTGTCTGAGGAGTCACGAATGGTGCTGAACATCGTACAATCATCAGTAAACATCCCCACGTCTGACAGAGGGAAGGTCATTGATGAAGCGGGTGTAGATGGTTAGGCCTAGGACACTACCCTGAGGAACTCCTGCAGCTGAGGTGATTGACCTCCAACAACCACGACCATCTTCCTATGTGTCAGGTATGACTCCAAACACCAGAGGGTTTGCCCTCTGATTCTAGTTTTGCTAGGGCTCCTTGATGTCAAGGGCTGTCATTCTCACCTCACCCTCTGGAATTCAGCTCTTTTGTCCATGTTTGAACCAAGGCTGTAATGAGGTCAGGAGCTGAGTGGCCCTGGCGGAACCTAAACTGGGTGTCACTGAGCAGGTTATTTCTGAGCAGGTGCTGCTTGATTGCACTGTTACTGACACCTTCCATCACTTTACTGATGATCGAGAGTAGACTGATAGGGTGGTAATTGGTTGGATTTGTCCTGCTTTTTATGTACAGGATGTACCTGGGCAATTTTCCACATTGTTGGGTAGATCCCAGTGTTGTAACTGTACTGGAACAGCTTGGCTCAGGGAGCAGCAAGTTCTGGAGCACAAGTCTTCAGTACTATTGCCAGAATGTTGTCAGGGCCCATAGCCTTTGCAGTATCCAGTGTCTCCAACTGTTTCTTGATATCGCATGGAGTGAATCAAATTGGCTGAAGACTGGTATCTGTGATGCTGGGGACCACTAGAGAGGCTGAGATGGTTCATCCACTCGGCACTTCTGACTGAAGATTGCCGCGAATGCTTCAGCCTTATCTTTTGCACCGATGTGCTGGGCTCTTCCATCACTGAGGATGTGGATATTTGTGGAGCCGCCTCCTCCAGTGAGTTGTTTAATTATCCACCACCATTCACAACTGGATGTGGCAGGACTGCAGAGCTTAGACCTGATCCGTTGGTTGTGGGATTGTTTAGCTCTGTCTATCACTTGCTGCTTTCGCTGTTTAGTGTGCAAGTAGTCCTGTTTGGTGGCTTCACCAGGTTGACACCTCATCTTCAGGTATGTCTAGTGCTGGTCCTGGCATGCCCTCCTGCACTCTCCATTGAACCAGGGTTAATCCCCTGGCTTGATGGTAATGGTTGAGTGGAGAATATGCCGGGCCAGAAGAAGGATGAAAGGTGACTTGATAGAGGTGTACAAGATGATGAGAGGCATAGATAGAGTGGATAGTCAGAGACCTTTTCCCAGGGCGGAAATGACTATTACGAGGGGGGCATAATTTTAAGATGAATGGAGGAAGGTTTAGGGGAGATGTCAGAGGTAGGTTCTTCACACAGAGAGTGGTGGGTGTGTGGAATGCGCTGCCCCAGCAGTGGTAGTGGAGTCAGGTACTTTAGAGACTTTTAAGCGACTCTTAGATAGGCACAGGGAAGATTGTAAAATGTAGGGCATGCAGGGTATATTGATCTTAGTAGGATCATAGGTCAGCACAACATCATGGGCCGAAGGGCCTGTACTGTTCTATGTGGTTATAGATTACATTGGAGTACAATTCTGCTGTTGTTAATGGCCCACAGCGCCTCATGGATGCCCAGTTGAGTTGCTAGATCTGTGTGAAGTCTGTCCCATTTCGCACAGTGATAGTGCCACACAACACGATGGAAGTTATTCTCAATGTGAAGGTGGGACTTTGTCTCAACAAGGACTGTGCAATGGTCACTCTTGCCAATACTGTCTTGGACAGATGCAACTGCAGCTGGCAGATTTGTAAGGATGAGGTCAAGTATGTTTTTCCCTCCTGTTGGTTCCCTCACCACCTGCTGCAGACCCAGTCTAGCAGCTATGTCCTTTAGGACCCAACCAGCTCGATCTGTAGTACTGCTGCCGAGCCACTCTTGGTGGTGGAGGATATTGAAATCCCCCACCCAGAGTACACTTTTGTGCCCTTACCATCCTCAGTGCTTCCTCTAAGTGTTGTTCAAAATGGAGGAGAACAGATTCAGCAGCCGAAGGTGGCTGGTACATGGTGACTAGCAGGAGGTTTCCTTGCCCACGTTTAACCTGAAGCCATGAGACTTCATGGGGTCCCAGAGTCAATGTTGAGGACTCCCAGAGCAACACCTTCCCAACTGTTTCCTGCTGGGTCTGTCCTGCCAATGGGACATTATCTGTAAGGTATGACTGTGTTGCTTGACTAGTCGGTGAGACAGCTCTCCCAATTTTGGCACTAGCCACCAGATGTTAGTGAGGAGGACTTTGCAGGGTTCCATGGAACATCAGAGGCTGAGGGGGTGACCTTATAGAGGTTTATAAAATCATGAGGGGCATGGATAGGGTGAATAGACAAGGTCTTTTCCCCCAGGGGTAGGGGAATCCAAAACTAGAGGGGCAGAGGTTTAAGGCGAGAGGGGAAAGATTTAAAAACTAAAGGGACCCAAGCACAGAAACAGACCCTTCGGTCCAACCAGTCCATGCTGACCATAAGCCCAAACTAAACTAGTGCCATTTGCCTGTGCTTGATCCATAGCTCCATGTTTCTTATTCATGTACTTATCTAGATGTGTTTTAAACATTATAACTGCTCTCACATCCACCACTTCATTCCGCACATGAACCAGTGTTTAAAAAAAAACTGCCCCTCATGTCTTTAAAATCTCTCCTCTCTCTTTAAAATCTCTCTCCTCTCACTTTAAAAATATGCCTCCTACTCTTGAAATCCCCCACTCTAGGGAGAAGACATCTACCATTCAACTGATCTATACCCCTCATGATTTTATAAACCTCTAAGGTCATCCCCCCAACGCTCCAGTGAAAAAAGGTCCCGACCTATCCTTATAACTCAAACCCTCCATTCCCGGCAACATCCTGGTAAGTCTCTCCTGAACCCTCTCCAGCTTAGTAATATCCTTCCTGTAACAGGGAGACCAGAACTGGACACACAGTGCTCCAGAAGGGGCCTCACCAACGTCCTATACAACCTCAACATGACGTCCCAACTCCAATTCTCAAAGCTCTGAGCAACAAAGACAGGGGTAACATTTTCACGCAAAGGGTGGTGCGAATATGTAATGAGCTGCCAGAGGAAGTGATGGAGATAGGAAGGGGAAAGAGACTTTACCCGAGGACAGAACTTCTGTCAAATAGACAGACAAAACAAAACCCCTCATCATAAAATGAAAGGAACTGAGGATGCCGAAGGTCAGTTTTAAAAAAAAATTGCTGGAGAAATTCAGCAGGTCTCCTTTCCACTGGGAGAAAATAAATCTGCTTTGCAGAATGCTTATGTTCTGTCTACAAAAGTGAACGCACGCTTCCTGTTGCCTGCTACTTCAATACCCCCGTGTTCCCTGACCAACATCTCTGTCTCAGGCTTGCTGCAATGATCCAGTGAGGCTCGGTGCCTCATTTTCCACTCGGGGACCCTGCAGCCTTTGGGACTCTGCATAGAAAAAGAGTTCAGTAATCTTAGGGCCTGAATATCACCTTCAGAACATCCTTTACCCACACCCCCATGTGCTGCAGATGGGCTGGTTTCAGCATAGTCATTTTCAGCTACTTAGACTTCATCATCAGCTTCTCCCCTCCTCTCTCTCTCTCTGTCAAACACACACTCTCTCCCATCCTTTGTCTAACTTTCTTATCGTCTCCTCCTCCCGCACCACCCCCCCCGCCCGCCCCACCCAACCCCTGTTATAGGAGCAGAATTAGGCCCTTCAGCCCATCGAGTCTGCTCCACCATTTGATCATGGCTGATGTGTTTCTCAACCCCATTCTCCTGCCTCCTCCCTGTAACCCTTGGTCCCCTGTCTCTGTCTTAAAGACACTTAATAACTTGGCCTCCAGAGTCACCACCCTCTGGTGAAGAAATTCTTCCTCATCTCTGTTCTAAAAGGGCCGTCTCTTCACTGAGGCTGTGCCCTCAGGTCCTAGTCTCTCCTACTGGTGGAGAGGTCATTCCCACATCCACTCTGCCCAGACCGCTCAGTATTCTCTAAGTTTAATCAGGTCCCCCCCACATCCTTCCAAATTCCATCGAGTACAGACCCAGAGTCCTCAACCGCTCCTCATACGACAAGCCTTCATCCCCAGGACCTTTCTTGTAAACCTCCTCTGGACCCCCTCGAATGCCAGCACATCGTTCCTATCTGCTCCCTCTTAAAAGAAATCTTTGTCAACCTTTTGCAGAGACTAAAAAAAATTTGGACAAAGGGAAGATAGGGATAGGCACAGAAGTTTGAGACAAATGGGGCTTTTAATATTAGGCATCGTGAACGTGAATATAAAAATGTTCAGTGTGTTTACACGAAACTCGAAACCAAGGGTAGGTTTAACAGTATACATTAGCTGCACATTTAGCTGTACCCGATCAGTGCAGGGCAGGTTAACATAGCTCTGCTCAGGACTCCAGCCCCAGATATAATTTTCATGTAAACTGGGCCCTCATTTCTTACTGAAGTCAGTCTGCACACCAAAAAAAAAGTCTTGTCCAAGTGTTCTCACACTACACCATCCCCCCCAAATCAAACACCCCCAGGGACAGGGACAGCACGGGGTTAGATACAGAGTAAAGCTCCCTCTACACTGCTCCCCCCCACCCCCCAATCAAACACTCCCAGGGACAGCACAGAGTAAAGCTCCCTCTACACCGTGCAATCAAACATGTGCAAGGCTGGGCTAGGGGCCCTAAAAACAGGGAACAAACCAATTGCAGTGTCTTTTAAAAACCATGATTGTGGTGTTTTCAAGGATACAAAAAAAAACACACAAACACCAGGGAAGGGAAGCACGAGAGAGAGAGCGAGTCTAGCAGCGATGACCGTCCTATAAATAAACAAGGTCTGTGGAAGAAGACAGCGAACAATTATAAGAACAGACAAACAACAAGAACGGAGGCAGGTGGGTGACGTATCAGAGCAAGCAGGAATGAACCCCGAAAACAGCAAAAATAAAAAGGGACAGCAGAAAAGGAGACACAGTCTGGGCTCTGCGAGGGGGTACTGAGCGAATCGCTGGGCCCTCAGCAGCGATGAGAAACAAAGGTTGGGGTTTGGGTTGGGTTAGGGTGACGGCCTCTCCCACCCAGACACCCGCAGCTCGGTATCTCACTCAGGCCTCACTCTCCCCGGCCGTGGCATTCTGAATCTCCCCCTCCAGGATGGGCACAATGAGGTTGTCCTTTGACATCAGGTTGTATTTGATGACGAACTTGGTGAAGCGGTGGCACAGGTAGGTCTCGTTCTGCACAGAAGGGACAGAAAGGGAACAAAAAATAAATAAATAAAAATAAAAAAGGGGTTTAGCTTGGCAGTGGCTGAGAGACCCCAGCTTCCCCCCCACCAAAAACGCACCCAGCATTCTCGGACATTCACTCGAGGAACCACACCCCCACCCACCGTGTCCTCCGCTCCATTCCCCCTGCCGGAAATTACATCCTTCCAGGATAACTCCCAGTGAAAACAACAGGAGGAGACACAGGACAAGCTGCTGGGGGTGGGGGGCGGAAAGCAGGGAAGACAGAGAGAGAGATTGAGACACAGAGAGAGAGGGAGACACAGAGAGAGGGAGGGGTGGTGGGGGAGGAGGGAGAGAGGGAGGAGATTCATGTTCATCCCACCCGGGGGCAAGGGGAGGGGGATGCAGACAGCTGCTGTCATGGAGGGAATCGCTGTCAGGTCCCTGACTCACCCACCCCCACTGGGCTCGGGGAGCCCCTATCCCTACGTCACAGTCTCGCTGCCGACAGTGGCTGGTCAACTGCGGCAACTGCGGAAGGACTCACCTCGTAATCATCGAAGATCTGGCGGTGGTGGAAGTAGGCGTGGGAGAAGATCCGGTAGATCCTGCGACAGACGGAACCCAGTTTGGCCACGGAGGATTCCTTGATGCTGACCCTGCGCGGAGGGTGGACCGAGAGTGAGAGACAGAGACAGACAGACAATCAGGAGGGGGTGGGGACAGTGATGATAGACAGGGAAAAAATATTAATGCACACATTACAAATTTTAAACAATCCTCTGACAGCCGAGAACTCCTGTAAATCATTCAAGAGAGAGGCGGGGTGTTGAAAGCGCTCTCGTCTTGCACTCTTCAGGATACAATCTCAAGAATGCCAGATTTCCAACGGTCGCAACGACCGATGCTGCAGGAGAGCTGGGTGCTGATTGGTTGTCTCCGATTGCCACGGAGAAAGCAATGCCCCAGCCAATGGGGAACCGGAAGATGCTCCGAGCACCCAGGTTGTTCTGAGACAAAAGGCGCGAGGCTGGACCAGATGTGTTTGCTGGGGATATTGCTACAAGTATGTAGCAGCGTGCTCGGGATTGCTTTGCAAATGCTGTGCCAGTCACAGCTAATACTCCAAACCTGAGTGATAAACCTCTTCCTCTCTCCCTAGTGTCGCTTGTTTGTAAACTTTCTTACAGGGACACGGACTGAGCCCAAAATTTATCGCACGTCCCCTATCTGCAACCGCACCCGCTCCCCCACCTCCACTGCCAGGCGTGGTGCAGGGACACCCCGCACGGTGCCATCAGTGGGGAGGGAGTTCCAGGATTTTGAGCCCGGAAACAGTGAAGGAACGGCCCATGTCGTTCCCGAGTTGGTGCATGCGCGTGGAAGCCAACTTTGTGGGCAGTGGTGTTCGCCCAGGTCTGCTGCCCCCTGTCCTTCCTGGGCAGGGGTTGGGCAGGAATTGCGGATTTGGAAGGTGCCACCAGTCAGAGGAGCCCAGGAGAACAGCGAGCGAGAGCTCGTGTTCACACCCCTCACAGGGAAAAATTTAACCCCGCCCTCGAAACAGGTTCTCACCCTCGACACCTTACCTGCTGGGGAAGTATTTGTTGCTGTTCAATAAGCAGGCAGCACCGTCCAGTGTGTGTCTGGTGTAGTCAATAGCAGGGCACTGAGAACGGAGACAGAGGCAAAGAGAGACAGCATGGTCAGGCAGGTCACGAGCAAGTTCACAATATGGCCGCGCACGGGAAATCTCACAAAACAGCCCAGCTGACAATACCGTCTGACTCTGTGTGACAGAGAGGGAGGGAGAGAGACACAGAAGTTGAAAGAGAGGTGGGTCAGCTGTGGTGAGGTTGGGAGAAGCAGGTTTGAGCGATCTAGTGGACGGCATCCGACTTTCAACAGAGAGGTGATAATATTAAACTGGAGGGGGCTCGGAAAAGATTTACCAGGATGTTGCCGGGAATGGAGGGTTTGACATATACATACATATATAGGGTGAGATGTTTTTCACTAAAGCGTAGGAGATTGAGAGGTCACCTTGTAGGGATTTATAAAATCATGAGGGGTACAGTTAAGATGAATGACAAGGAGTGAGAGGGGAAGCGTTCCCTGGGATGGGGGAATTCAAAACTAAGGGGCATATTTTAAAAACAAAAAAGAGGAGGAAGATTTAAAAAGGATGAGGGCCACCTTTTTTTTGCACACAGGAGGTTCATGTGTGGAATGACCTGCCAAAGGAAGTGGTGGATGCAGGTACAGTTACAATGTTTAAGACACTTGGACAGGTACACGAATAGGAAAGCTTTGGAGGGATATGAGCCCACTGCAAGCATGTGGGACTACTTTAGTTTGGGATTACGGTTAGCATGGTCTGGTTGGACTGAAGGGTTGTTTCCGTGGTATATGACTGTATACGAGGGCCTTTTGACAGTGATTCGGGACTGGATGTGTGTGTAGCCTCTGAGTGTAACTCACCTCCTTAGGGGTTTTGTGTGCGGCACACAGGAATATCCACTGCTCAGTGGCTGTCATCTGCGTACATGTGTCTGAGTGGCACTCACCCTGTGTGTGTGGGGGTGGGGGTGAAAATGGAGATAAACCAGGTCAGTCTCATCAATCCAGAAACAACTCCGTGTCCCCCCTACTCCCTCACATTAAACACTGCAATCAACCACCCCCCTCCCCAAACCACACCACATGCAGTCCAATCTAACCAACACACCCTGTCCCCAAAACCGGACCTGAGTAAATTCCCACTGCAGGCTCAGATCCTTCGGGCCCATCAGATCCATGCTAGCATTCACACGCCACCAGCTTCCTCCCCACTCCCTCCACCTCATCCCGCTCGGTTCCTCCGTCTGTCGTGCGGTTATTCAGCTTACCCACACCCCCTCAAAGCATCAACGCTACACTCCCTGAGCTCTCTCTACCTCTCCACCACCCCCCACCCACACCCCCCTCTGTGGGAGTGGGGCCCACATTCGCCTCGCTCTCTGGGTCCAAAGGTTTCTGGAGAGTTCCCCGATTTGGGACTTATCGGGCACTGTTTCAGATCGATGGTGCCTGCCCCACCGATTCTGGTCTCCTGCCCCGAAACACAACTATTGTCTCCCCTGTTGAACCGCACACCCCTCCCTCGCCTGCTTTGTAATTTTAAAAACCCCTCTGTTCGGTCATTTCTCCCCACAGCCCAAAAAAAAACCCTTCCTTCCCTGTTCAAGATATACACATGCATGCACGGGTGCGTGCACATGCAGCTGCACACACACACGCGGGCACGCGCACATGCAGCCGCGCACACGTATGTGTGTTCACACATGGGCTCGTGCACACAATTTAAAAGGCATCATCTCCTATTGCAGAGGCCAGCTCCCCTCAGTCTCCCCACATCCACAATTAGGGTTTAACTCACCTGCAGTTTGACAGCCAGGTCGTTGAGCTCAAGACAGAACTGCCTGCAATAAAACATGATGTGAGAGAGAAAGAGAGAAATAATATATACATTCAACACACCGTGAAAATCATTTGGTGGCAACTGGGGGTGGGTGTGGTGCAGGGCCGAGCGTGAAACCTCGGTTGATGGAGTGAAGCTGCTCTGCTGCGTTAGTTTCACAGGCCACCACCACACCACCACCCCCCCGCCACCCCCGGGAGGTTTCCTGGCTGCACGGAGCCAGATATTCCCTGTCAATTATCCCCCCACCCCGGTATTGCAGTTAACAGGATCTCACCGGTTTCCCACTGCCCTCTACCAGCTGCTCGGGATGGGGGGGCATGTTTGGAGACCGAAGGAACTCTGCAGCCTACCTCTGTCGAAAACAACGCAACAGGATGCATTCTGGAAGGTCCAATGCAGGAGGGTAGTGTACAGTAGATGGCAGGACCCTGAGAAGCATCAACATACAGAGGGATCTAGGTGTACAGGTCCACAGTTCCCCGAAAGCAGCAACAAGTGGATAAAAGGTGGTCAAGAAGGCATTTAGCATGCTTGCCTTAACTGCTCAGGGTACAGGGTATAAAAATTGGCAAGTGATGTTGCGGCTGTACAGAACTTTAGCTGCGCCACATTTAGAATATTACATACATACGGTTCTGGTCACCACACTACCAAAAGGATGTGGAGGCTTTGGAGAGGGTACAGAAACGGTTTACCAGGGTGTTGCCTGGTTTGGAGGGGATTAGCTATGAGTAGAGATTGGACTAAAAACTTAATTTGTTTTCACCTGGACGTCAGAGACGGAGGGGCGAGTGAATAGAGGTTTACAAAATTATGCAAGGCACAGATAGAATGGATAAATGAGGTCTTCCCCCCACCAAGAGTAGAAACATCAATTACTCAGGTACATAGGGTTAAGGTAAAAGATGTAGGTTTAAAAGGAGATGTGTCCATCTTCTCTCCCACCTATCCACTCCTCCCACCTCACTGACCAATCTCCACCACTCCCTACCTGCACTCACCTATCACCACCCCACCTACCTTCCCCAGCCCCACCCCTCCTCCCTCTATTTATTTCAGAGCTCGCTTCCCCATTTCTGAAGGATCCCGACCCGAAACGTCAACTTTCCTGCTCCTCTGATGCTGCCTGGCCTGCTGTATTCATCCAGCTCCACATTTATCTCTGACTCCAGCATCTGCAGTTCTTACTATCTCTGAGTGAGACGGAAGTTTGTTTATTTTAAAAAAAATATGCAGAGGGTGGTGGATGCCTGGAATACACTGCCAGAGATAATGGTGGAGGCAGATACAACAGCAACGTTTAAGAGACATCTCAACAGATACACGAATAGACGGGGAATAGAGGGATGCAGACCACATAGAGACAAAAGATTTTTAGTTTAGAAAGGCATCATGTGTCGGTGTAGACTTGGTGGATTGAAGGGCCTGTTCCTGTGCTGTACGGTTCTTTGTCTTCCTCACAACTTACTCTCTCTGCCCTGTTCTCATGCGAACATCAAAGTTAGCAAGTGAACCTTTGGTTGCCTTATCCAGATTATTGATACAGATTGTAAGAACAAATGGAGGCCATAGCACTGATCCCAGTGACGCGCCACCCATTAAGTCTTGAAAACAGCCAATTTACCGCTGCTCTCTGTTTTCCATTAGCTGGTCAATCCTCTTGTTCCACACTTATGCATCATTCCCTACACCTTCAACTCTTATTTAGCTTGGTAACCTTTGATGTGGCACCTTTTTAAATGCCTTCTGGAAACCTTAATACTCCACATCCACCGATTCCCCCTTTATGTCCATTGCCTGTCACCCGTTAGTATCGGGAACTCGGAAAGCGCCGAGGCCCTAGTGCAGGAAGACAGTCTTACCGGAGGTGCTCATATTTCCAGACTCCCTCATCCTGCCCTTCTGGAGGCTCCAGGATTTTCTCAATATCCGAGGCATCGTCCCTTATGCTTTGCTGGATGTACTGTCCGTTGTTTGGGCCAAAGCAAAAAAAAAAAAAAAAAAAGAGGTGGAGAGGAGGGAGAATTGAACTTAATGCAAGACAGAGCTACGCAGAGTCACAGAAACAAATGAAGCATAACTGCAAAAGACAAAGTTCTCCTGATGGCATTCTCCAATAAAACCCCCCAACCAAAGATGGAATTCAGGGTCAGCTACCTCAGTTTAATCCGACGGCTAAGAGTGCACGGTGCCGAGTGTGGGTCTAACCGAGGGGATACGAAGGCTAAATAGTCAAGACACCTCAAGTGTCAAATCAATTGTTGGTATGGACCGTCCATTCAGAAATTGTTTATTGTCCATCCCATTTACCAGGCAGCCTGCTCTCCCTGGAAGTACAGCCTGTGTGTTATCTTCTTCTACAGGAGAGTCACACTAGGACGGCAAGGCTAGTTTTTAAACGAACACCGTTGGGTATCTTTCTGAGAGGGTCCCAGTGCAGATGGGGCCCATACTGACAAGGCTGCAGCAGTCACTGACCATGGCCTGGCCCACACCTTCCTCTACAGAGATTAATTAACAGGAACTAATACCATCTCCTCACCTGCTGAACCGCCAGAGTACTGTCCATCTCGTCCAGCGACTCATCCGGCCAGCTGTAAAAATCCTGCGGCACAGAACAAGGTCAGACACAGGCTTAAAACTGGCGACACAGAAATAAAGCCTCACACAATAATGCTAATGACTGCAGGGGGCACACAAAATCAGAGACACATACTGCTGTCTTCTTAAAGTGTCTAATCCTGTGCTGTCCCTGGGAGTGTTTAATGATGGCGATGGTGGGGAAACAGTGTAGAGGGGGGCTTTACTCTGTATCGAACCCCGTGCTGTCCCTGTCCCTGGGTGTGTTTGATGGGGAGGGGGTGGGGGGGGGT